ACCACTACCACTACAACAACTACAACTACAACAACAACGACGACGACTACTACTACTACTACGACGACGACGACGACGCCTACCACTCATAATACTGCCACCACTACGATTACGATACCGACTACCACCACCACCATCACCACTGCTGACCTGGCAAGGTTTAAGGAGAACGCAGGCTAGCTAGGGGAATTACAGAAGATTGCACAAAATTTAAATTCAATGACTGGGTGGGCAACGCACATGCCAAAGCAGACAGGCAGGAAACGTGGAAGAGCAAAACAGCGGAAAAGCATGGAACCAAAAAATGAGAACATTGAATTCTGGACAGGTAAGGGAGGACCGACACGGAACATCACGGAATTGTAGGGCATTCAAGCATGAAGAAGGTAGACTAACCAAGTTGGTAACTAAAAGTGGCCCCGACTAACCAAGTTGGTAACTAAAAGTGGCCCCGGTCAGAAAAGCTGCCTTCGACAAGGCCAACTCAAGCTTGACCAAGATGCCATCGAAGGCCTGACTGAACGTCTGCGCCCCACTGGAGATGTCACAATCTCTAAACGTTCATGTCGAGTCGCACCTTTGCCCAAACCGGCTCAAACTAACATCATCCACCCTGACTGAGCCCAGAACTTCAGCCTCGCCGGCAGCCTGAGCCAATGTGCCACCAGTAGCATGTCTGGAACTGGCGTCCGCGCTGCCACATCGGGTTCGGCTCCATCGTGGAACCCCCCTCTGCCATACTCTGACTCTGGCACCCGGAACTGCCTTTGTCTTGGGCTGCATGGGCGAATGGCCCAGAACATGCGGAGGCCTACAGCGGTGGTCCCGCTTTAACCCAATCGCAGGCTGAAGTATGAACTACTTTCGATGCAGGCAACAACACGTGTTTCGAATGTGGTTTGGATTGGCCGTGTAGTCCTGCATGGATTGCTGCGGTGTTCTAGGCTGGTGGCGAAGCTGATCTCCTAAGAATGAAACCTCTCTGATAGGGTTCTTGTCCTTACCATGACCTTGTGACTCACATCACATCGAGCAAAGAGATGCAGCATTGCACGGAAGATGTGTAGCGAACCTGCATCGGAGGCGACATGGCAAAGACGGCAAAGACAATCTGCGATGAAGTCTGGCCTGCCTGCTTTTCCCGAGCGCCCTACTTTCGTCTCCTTGCCTTCCGCAAAACCATACAAAGCCCAACTCCACACAATAACCTGCGCGCGAGGTGCCAGAGTCGCAACTGTTTTTCTCAGAAGCACACGCTGCGGCTGCTGTCAGGTGCCCCCTGGTCGGCGAAGTGCGTTCCACGTATCCCGTATCCACATGGAGCAGTGCACGAGCTGAGGGTCTTCTTCATTTCTGCGGGCGCTCATGGTCTTCGCTGCCACTGCCCGAGAGTTCCGATTGCGAGAGCATTTTCCGTCTTGGATGAGCCATTTCCCATCACGCACCAGCTCGATTTGCACTAGAAGTCGTCCTCCTCACCGGCAAAAGACAGCCGGGGTCGTCGAACACCACCTGATGCCTTGCTTTCGTGGTCTTCGCCTGGGCCTTCCCCACCCTGCAGGCGCTTTCGCTTGGCATCCAATCTCGACAGTCTTGCAAGGCGCTCTGCTTCCACTCGAGCTTGCTCTTCCTGCTCTGCCTGCACTGCTTCACCGTCTTCGCTCGGTCGACTCGGCCTCAGGTGTCATGGTATTTGAGTCTGACCGCTGAGCGCTGAGGCTGCCAAATTTCTACCAAGGCTCTGCCTGTCCCTCAGATCCCACTGCCCGCGTCCTGCAGCCAACCTGACATTTGCTGAAGCGACCCGAGGCCTCGATGTTCACTCAAAGAAGAGACCCCAAAGCACCTGCCTGGCATCTTGTGCGAGGCGTTGGTGCCTCGTCCGCACAGACTCCGCCGTCGGTGCACCAGATTCCTTGAGACGTATTAGGCGCTTAAAAAAGCGTATCCTTCCTCAAGTCGTCTTTGTCAGGCCCTGTGACCTCCAAGTGTTGTAGACAAGGATGTTTGTTGGCTTTGTTCCATGCCTGGGAGTCCTGTCTACTGCATGTCTTGGAGGCCGCTAAAGCCTATCCACAGCAGTCCGCCTGGTTCTGGGCATTTTGTAATTGCACTGCGCATCCCGAGGATCTGTAAACTAGAACATACAGGTCCTACTAGTCATGAAGTTGAAGGCCACGGGACTGGCAACAGAAGGAGCTGTACATGCAATAAAGAAATACAACCAGAGCAATGTTGGCATTGCCTGCACCAGAGTCCACGTATGAATACATGGCCAGCCCCCGCACACATGCCGTGTTGCGGCAAAAAGCTTACTTACCCCGCACTGTCGGCGGCTCCTGCAGATGTAGTATAGATGCAGAGGTATGGACAAGCACGTAACCCTAGGCAGAAAACTAATGCCTCCATACATACATGGACTGTTGTTCCGCAAATGCGTGTAAAAGTGCCTTTATTGCGGAAAGCAGCGGAACCAAGTAGCCAAAGAACGTGCTGCATGATTCATGCATACGACATACGAAAAGCATGCGCAAATCAGGATACATAAACTATCACAAACTGGAGAATTCTGCTGACATTCTGCACTATGAGTGGGTGATCGGCTCAAATCTTTGCTTCTGGGCTGCATCTCGCGAATCGCCCAGACGTGCCCGTGCAGCAGCGAAGAACGAAGATCCGAGTTGAGCAAAAGCCGCCACGCTGGCATCGTCGACTAATTGCTTCTTCAACCTTGCGCAGGCGCATATGGGCACTTGGTGATCTTCCATGATCAGTACAAGAAGCTACCGACAGGACCAGTCGTCAGCAGAAGAAATCACGGTTTCCAGACCGCGCTGGGCGAGGCGCAGTGATCTCATTTTCCGCTCGCTGACACCGTTGGCCTGATCCTCGCCGGGCTTCGACTCATTCTCTTCAAACTCTTCTACGTCAGCCATGGCCACAATCGACAGTGGGAAGGACGCACAGCTACAACGTCCCGATCTCGTGAGCTGAGGCGAAATGAGTCACCTGATGCTCTTAACAAATCCTCAGACATGCCCAAGCTCAAAGGCCCAAGGCCCATCGGACTGCGGGCAAGCGTTGCTGCTGGTGGACCGTAACAGCACGGCGGACATCAATTTTAATCGCATTGGATGATTTAATTAATTAGATGGTCTCCCCCACCGGAAGGCCTATATCAGTTAACCGGGGAGAAGGCGTATCAGTAAATTCCGAAGGGCGTATCAGTGAAGCCGGGAAGCCGAAGGGAGTATCAGACCCGTGGGCGCCCGACGCCGCCCGTCCGTAGATGATCAAATCATTTCCCTAAATTTAAGGTTTTAGGTGACTTGCAGGGCTGGCTTCCTTAGCTTTCATGTGCATAAGACGAAAGCTTCCTACTGCCCAATTTTCTCGAAGCATGCAAATCAGCAGACACACTCTGTGCATGCTTGTTGCAGCTGCAGCCATGGCCTTCGGCCGATGATTCAGCGAACTGCGAACCCTAGGCGAGCTGTTCTAAATTAAGACCTCCTTGCCGTCACTTTCCTCACTCTGTAGAAAGAACTTCTACATACTCTACTTCGCGATGCATTTCTCACACCAGGATGCTGGTGCGAAATGTCATCCCCGCTGTATACCCCTCCTTAGCTGGCTAATCAAAAACCAAAAGGAATGGGGAAAGGTGCCCTGCACGCGGGAACATCGACCAACCACGCAACGCCTGCCAGCTTCCTCAAAACTGCAGGCGAGGTTCCGGTATGACGAGCTCATAGCGGGCACCCAAGTAGTCGACCGGTAGGGTCCTACATAAGTATACCAAAAGTTGATACCAAAAATGGCAAGCAGTGCCTTGTCATGTCTGAGGATGGGGCTCTCCGGGGCCCATCCCCTCTGGCACAACCACCTCGATCTCTTGCGATGTCCCTGCCTCGGCAAATACAAAAAAAAGTCGCAGAAGCACGCTTAGCTGCGAGCATTTTTCCTTAGCCGTAACTTATGTCATTTTTAGTGGAACTAGTAAGTCGTGACTTGTATTCTTACTCGGAAGTTTTCTTCAGCAGGAGTGATACAAAAACCCTTGCCTGCCTATTACTTCTTTTTGGACACAAACCGCAATAAATGCTGTCAAATACGGCTTTTGCGGCTTGCGAGCAATGGTTTACAGTTTCGGGTTTAGGGCTTGGGGGTCTGTGTGGGTTTAAAGAACGATGCACGCGAAGCTTGTCCAAATTCGAAAATTTTTTTGCGTTTAGGGTTTAGGGTGCACGCTTAGTTGCCTGGCCAACCCCCCTCCCTCCTGCTGCAACGGCACGAAAAACATGACTAAGCAAATCCAATACAACCAACCCAGCTACCAAAGCCGAGTGCACGGTGCAATGAGCAATGCAACTGTGACACTCCCAGCGATTGTTGCCGCTGAACCTCGAAACCAAACTGTGCTTGAAGCTTCGTGCTTCACCTGAACGCACCGGACAAGCTGGTCCTCTGCAAACATCAGCTGCAGGAAGGCATCGTAATCTTCGGATGATGTTATGGCCTGGCGCGAAACCAAGCACCACCAGACACAAAACTGCGATCACAAGGCAGGTATCCTTGATGTAGCCGTAAAGGTTTTCCGAATCGTCGCCCAAGTTTTCCTCGATCTCCTTCACACCGGCCGGCAGTCTGTGGCACGCATAGCACGGCATCACCCCTCAACACGCCAATCTAAAATCTACCTTGCGAACCGTCTGAGAATTGCAGCCCCTGGTGTTGTCCCAGTCTTGTTTCCCCTTGGCTTTAGCCGGATGCTACAAAAGAAATATCCACTTGTGATTCCTTCTGGGCTGCAATGAGCCAGAGCTCGATTTGCTGCCGTGTCCGGGTGCTGCTCACGTCAATGTCGCAAAAGTGCTTTCCGCCTTTGTGTATGTGTGTCTGTCAGAGTTGCATTGATCCAGGAACCTCCCCTCCTGACTATTCAAACTCTGGTCAGAAGATGTGTTTTCAATGTCATCACAGCACATTGCATCGAGAAACAGTTGGAACTTTGGCGAGCACAAGCAAATTGATGCACAGAGGCAACACACCGCTCACACCAAGACAGTTTCTCCTGCAAGTACCCACACAACTCATGGAATGTATCTTGGGTCAGCCCCAAGCCGTGCAGTATGTGTCGCAAGTGCATCTCGAAAAGCTCGCGATATTCGTTGAAGTACCTCGGCACGCTTGGAAAGTTTCACGGCTGCGGTTTAGAGTTTCACTTCCCCACGTTCTGAGAGCCCTGCTGTGTCCAAATCAATGGCTGCGAGCCATCAGGGCATGTAGCTTGAAAGTGCGCTGCCCTATCCGCAGCAAATTGCCTCATGACGAGACCATACGATGGAAAGGACGAAGCACGCCAACTGTCCTGCTTCACATGAAAACACCAACAGATGCAGGCGGCTGAACAGCAGCTTGGAATCCAGCATCATGAAAACCTCGCCTGAGTTTGTGCCATGGTTCGCATCGTTTGCATTGTCCGGGGGATACACGGACAATGCCAACCGGTACTTCTGCGAAGAAGAAACAATATTGGTTCCAAGCTCGAACCGCCACCGGACATGGATTTCAGACGCTCCATTTCTGCATCAAGCACATCGAAGGACGTCATGGCGGATGTGGTCTGCGAACTACGTGAACATTCAGCGCATTTCAATGCTATGAAACTGTCACGTCGGGCTTGTCAAGTCTATGTGCGCTATTATATCTGTTAGTCTACTATAGTCAAGCTGCTGGGGCTCGGAAAGACGGGCGGCTGTGGCCATGAGTAGCTTTGCGACATGGATAGCTGTTGAAGCGGCACAAGCGTACATCCAACCAATCCCTCTACTTGCTGTCGCCTGTCGGAAGAGCACTTGCCAACTGAGTGTGTCAAAGGTGTCCTGATTCAGAAGTATTCTTTGAATGACCCCTGCATCATGTCGCAGTCGAGCTTGAGGCCTGGGGCATGGGTAGTTCCGTAAACGTAGGGCCCTTCTAGGATCCTTTCTGCAAAACGCTCCATACTATTTCGCTAAGCACTCCTGTGTCCGTTCTCGCCAACGTCATGCAAGGGAGCCTATAAACTCTATTGGCCGCTACGGCGGCGTAGCTCTTTCAGCGGCAGCTCAAACCCGTCGCTAGCGTCACAGGCCGCACCAGCAAGCTCTGGGCGTGTGCTCTCAAGGTGGCACGCGCCGCGATGACGACGGCGCGTAAGCGCAAAGCGCCCACCTCGAGTCCGAAGACCACCATTCGGCAGCGTCTGCGCCTGCCTGGTTGGAGCTCGGGGTAGGTGCGGGGTTTGCGCCCTGGCTTGTTGAAGTGTCAACAGTGGCCTCGCATAGCCGCCGGGTCGTGTCCGCCTGTATCGCCCGTTGCATTGGATGGGGCTTACCAGCATCGTGTCGACCGCAACTTAGGCACTTCGCTACAAAAGAAAGCCGTTGGCGACGACCTCGAAGCTGCAGAATTTCTGCGTGTGTTTTTTGTTGCGTTTGGGGGTCGTCGAACGCCTGCCAGTGCTCCGGGATTCGCTCGTGTTCCCGGAAAACCATTGGCCCATTCAGCACTGGCGGGTGGCATCGAGAGTGCAGACGGTTTCTTTTTTTTTCGGTTCTTTTTCCGGCTGCCAAAGGTGCCTCAGCTCGGAAGGCTAGGGTGACCTACTAGCTATGCCGGCAACCTACGGCTACGGCGCAAGCACGTCGCCCGCAAGCACGTCGCCCGCAAGCAGGGCGTGGTTCAGGAAACCACGGAGCCGGAAGTCGGCTCGCGAGCACTGGCGCTGTGTCACGAGCATCCGCGAGCAGGACACCGAGAGGTCGCTCCGTGCCGTCGCATTCGTCCGCTGCCGCCAAGGGCAAATCAAGCAGCGAGTAAGCCAGCGCGTGTTGCGCCGCCACAGCCAAGATGTCCGTCCAACGGTGTAAGGAGGCACGCTGCACGGTCGGCGCAGCCGCGCGGAGGACTCACGCGCACGAGCCTTAGCCAACTGCCGTAAGAAGGCCACGGCCTCCGGGCCAGTTTGCAACGGCGCGCGACCGCGAGTTTCGGGTATGCGTGGAGGCGTTTGCGCTTCGACGGCTTGGCAGTATTTGACTGGTGGTTACTCCGGGGTGGGGGCATCAAAAAATCCATATACATCAACAAAGATTCAAATCCTGGGCTCGAAACGGGCACCTGTGTCACCGCTGTCACGCACAGGCCTGACGCTTACGGGTCGCCGAGCGCCGAAAGCGGGCCACCTATCCGGAACTGAACGGCGGCCCCCAACAACTCGTGGCGCTCGGGAGCGAGGTCGCGGGACGCTGGAATATGGTGCGCACGAGCTGGTCCGAGACCTCGCGTCCGTGCCCGGCGAGCTCCGCCGGCCATGAGAAGCGCCGCTTCGTCGGCATGGGCCA